ATTTTGATCCTTTCATATTATACCTAATGACTGCTGCGGTTCAAATGATACTATATGCTGGATTTCTGATAATGAGAGAGTCGTGACTTGTGAGAATAGTCGTATTCAATAAACACGTGTTGGAGATAATGTATTTCATTATGATCCAATGGAATTCTGAATAACAATTAATTATATATCCGTATGAAAAATGAAGTGAATGCGGATTATTATTATTAGATGAAAATGTCCTTTATGTTACGAATTGATAGTTTTCTATAAATAGTATACCTACTGAAATAAAGTTATCGGGGAATATGAAGTAGGGGAGATCGGTGTCAATTGTAACAAAATCTGGTTTTAATTTTATGGGGAGTGTAATCTACAATGGAATGACCAGAAAAAAATTGAGTGTATGATCAGATGTCTGGGGATGAGAATGGCTCATACACATTTGGTTAAAAAACTGCAATTGAAGCAAAAAATAATTGTTTCTGACCTGAAACACCATGGTACTATCGACACCGTAAAGGTGTCGAATGTAACACGTGCTGTGTCAATTGTAACAACCATTATGTTGGTTGATATTAATACAATTTCAACAAACTTAAAATGTATTTTCAATTAAAATAAGAAGTCAGAGATGGCAAAATATTGAAGAACATGTAAAGGTTACATATATTTATATTTTCTAAAATCGAGGAATCAGTCAGATTCACAATTCTTGCAAATGAACAGCGGATCATTATTGGCACAAGAAGAGTGAGCCCACTCTTTGCACAGCCTACATTGCAGCCAATCTTCTCTGCTCTTGGTATAAGGGCCACAACATACGAGACAAATGGACTCATCATCATCAGTCGAACAATCTGATGATGATAGTTTTTCTTCAGAGAATTTAGTCTTCTTTGGTTTTATTCCAGGTTTTTTTGTCTTCTTAGACAAATTCATATTTTTCTTGACAGCAGAAATCATTTTTTTATTATATGCCTCTTCGATGATTAATTTTTCTGGTGTGTCAGTATATATTGCTGTCTTTCCTCTTTGTCTGCTACTGGTGGTTTTTGGTTTAGTGTGATCAGCTTTTGGCAAAGGGCGAATTTGTTCGGGGGTGAATATCTTGTAAGAAGGAGGTGGCATTTCAGCGATTTGTGCAGGGGGTGGAGGTGTTACATCTCTAGATGTACCAGGTTGGGCTTCCCTCGACGAGATAGCTCCATTTGTTTTGGTCTAGGTTTCACCATATTATTGATGTTCAATGTCCCCTGAAGAAAAATATACCTCTGTCTTGAATATATTCGAAAGAGGTGGCAATTGTAACACGTTACAATTGACACCTTCGGCTTTGTTACAATCGACACCACCAGACACTCATATTCATACCAATATGATTGACAGATTTAACCTCAAAATTATCCAAAGAAAGGTTGTATGTACTTGTAATATTTAATGTATATGACAAACAAGCCAGCGGCTATAGTACATAGACTACAATCATTAAAATCAAATCTCGAACGTTTTCGGCAACATTGCCATCATCAGGAGATTTTTGTCAGAAATCTGTACAAAAGATTACATAAGAGGTGATCATTTCGTCAATATTTGTTGTTATCCAGTTTAATATACTATAAATTACCGTGTAATTATAAAACCAAATGGCAGCCAAGCTGCCTCCACTGTAAAACGGGAATGACTCAGAGTCATTCCCGTTTTACAGTGGAGGCAGCTTGGCTGCCATTTGGTTTTATAATTACACGGTAATTTATAGTATATTAAACTGGATAACAACAAATATTGACGAAATGATCACCTCTTATGTAATCTTTTGTACAGATTTCTGACAAAAATCTCCTGATGATGGCAATGTTGCCGAAAACGTTCGAGATTTGATTTTAATGATTGTAGTCTATGTACTATAGCCGCTGGCTTGTTTGTCATATACATTAAAAAACTCAAAATTATCTTTCGAAATTACCTTGATTCATACATGCAAATATACTGTTTTCGACGTGATATACAAAAAATAAATCGAAATGAGAATAGGGAAGATATTAACTGATTATGAAATCATGAAATACTTACGTTTTGCACTGGAATCTGAATTATTTATTTAAAAAACACTGGACCTTGCAAAAACGAACAAGACACCTTTGCCGTTTGAGCCGACCGTTGACTACTGTCTGGGTGTAGTGAAATTTTGAACATATTTTGATAGATGGCGCTTTAATCTCCAATGTTACAATTGACACCTGTTACAATTGACACCGATCTCCCCTATTCGTAAAGAGTTAACTATGTGATAGTTATCGATCTCGCAATATTAAATAAGCAAATCTTAAAAGAAGTCAGTTCCCATTCCTTGTCCATTCACATGATCTTTGCCGATACGATATGATCTCGATCTTTCAACGTGATCGACATCTATAAAATATTGAGCAATGTTGAATTCTAAAATGAATATAAACAATAAATTATCCCACTGGCGAACCTAGTATCTCATTACTGGTTCAGGAAGATTGTGTATGGATTGTGAGCTAAGGCAAGAAATGCTTGCCAAGCATCATCAGTTGCATTGGGGGGGGGGGGAGGGGGGAGTACTCCACTGTGGGATACAAAAATTGCGTCATCATCAGATTTGCACTACCTATAGCTAATTCGAAATGGGCCACCTATAGATTCATTTTGCGTAATAGGCGGTGCACCACAATCAATCACCTCCTCTCACAAAAAAATACTAATACCCACTATATTACCACTCAATCAAGTTCTTGCACTTTGCCCAACATTTTCAGGCTTTCGATTAATTTCAACAGGAAAATTGTCTTACCCTAACAAATACTTATTTCCTTATTTCTACAGATTTTTAGTTGTTTCCTTCTCCCGTTTCAATTAATGATAGCAATCTTTATCTCAACGGAGCTAAGGTATGCATTTTCTCCCGCCTGTGAAGTTTGATGCACGACGCGTAGCGAAGGGCATTAGACACACATAAGAGGAAATGAACCTTTGCTCCCAAGATTTTATCCACGAAGGCACATATTTGTTAGAAATGTTTTTGAAATTTTTGAAATCAATGCCTTACATGATTTAAGGTTACAGACAGTATTTTCATCTGAACGGAGATCAATTTGACACTTCTGTCAAATTGAATGTCTTTATTGAGTGATTGCATTTTATCTAAAGTTTCTATTGAGTAAGTTTGGGATATAAGGAAGTGGATGAGTTCATTGGAGTTCGAAAATGAATTGTTATTTCTTTTATACTAGTTATGAAGACACTATGATTAGGTACTTATTGAGAAGAAGAAGCAAATTTATTTAACCTTTCTCAAGAGGTGTTTTTTTTTCTCCCAATGAAGTGAATTGACAGATTTGTATCCTCAAATGAGGAAGCAAACGTTTTCTTTCGATGCAGTCAGTAGATGAAAATATGAGTATCAATTCACTTTATGTGTATAGCGAGGACAAACTATTTAGAGAAAATGTCACTGTGTGTTTGAAAATGTCACTATTAGCACAGTTTGAGTGTGTATGCGTTGAGTAGTGGATATCAGGTTCTATCTATTAACTATTCGAATGTCTTGGTAGGTTCACATTTGGACATGGACCTATATATAAAGAGTTTATTGAAACATTAGAAGACCTTCATAAATAGTGACAAAAAACAATCGATCTCCATCGGAATGTCAATGGTCTGTTCATAATAACCAGATTTATTTTCTCTGATTCATATGAAACAAGGAGGTGTGAGAACACAACGATATGAAAATATAATATATATAATATATATAATATATATAATATATATAATATATATAATATATATAATATATATAATATATATAATATATATAATATATATAATATATATAATATATATAATATATATAATATATATAATATATATAATATATATAATATATATAATATATATAATATATATAATGAATGCGATTTATATTTTTGGCTAGATGCAATCGTTAAAGATAATGAGAAATTGTGCAAGCGGTTGCATGAAGATCTTCTTCAATGAACGCTCAAAGAATCAACTTCTGTTTTGTCCATCACACATGCTAGATATATCTGATAGATATTCAAATTTCCGAATATGCAATTAATTCCTATTTTTTATTATCATCATGGTTCAGTCAATTCTTGAAGTTCTTTTGTCAACTTCTCAATCTAATATATCATCTTCCTTGAAAATGAACGCACCACCAAGAAGTATCCAGAAGTATGAGATACATTTTCGTCGAAACCACTCGAACGATTTGAACTTTATTTGTTATGAATGACAGGTTATTTCCTTCTGAACATTGGTGTGGGATATTTATGACCTTGTGTGTTTTTTTCATGAAACTTTCAATACCCTATAGTGTAACGGTCATATTATCCAGTAATAAATGGACTTGAACTTTAGCCCCATTTTTCTACAACTTTTCCTATTTGGATTCACTTTATTATCTTCCTCATCATTCTAGAAACACAATTTTATAGTATAATATGATTCCATTGAATCTATTTCGAATTATCAGCACGTAAGTGGTAGGCTGGTATATGGTCTGGGGAAGCATCACTTTGACTGGTCTTGATTTTATATGAAAGCTCCACATCATAGCTGAAAGGTTCATATATTGGAGATCTCAGAATCACATATAGTTGGTGCAAGATAAAGCCAGGCCTCACGTCGCCTGGGTTGTGAGAAATTATCCAGCGGAAGTCGGTATATCCACCATATGGCATGACCAGCTCGGAGACCTGACTTGAATCCTCTGAGGAATCTCTGGCATATTCTTGAGACGAGATAACAAAAGAAACGTTACTCGAATACTTTGGGAGACGTGCGGCAGACTGATTGGAATTTGGAATAAAAAACGTCTTAATCGGATAGGTATTTTGACAAAAATGTATCTCAAATTTTTAGCTTCTTTTTGGTGGTACGTTAATCTCTTGAGGAAGTGAATTTTCTTAATATTGTGGAGAAATTTGGAAAATGTAGCAAACAAAAATACCTATACGTACTTCTCTAGATATCGCCCAATCGCTTCTGGCATACATTATATATACTGGAATCTTGATTTTCTTCAAATCGTATTCTGGAGGCATGTCACTATTGTAGAGATACCTGTTTTTACCTGGTCCGTAGTCGTATTTTCTGAATCTGTTTCTTGTAGCTTCACTGAGGTAACTTAGTGTTTTGAAAGAGGTTCCTGCGGGAATCTGGTTGAAATACACAGGTATAGTTTCCTGAAAAGATATTCAAATTGATTATTACGGTGGAAGAATTGTGACTGAGTTTTATAAAAAACATTCTTTCAATAATATATCACAGACAAATCATCATAACATTACATACAATATTGTGAGTATTCTATACAATGGATGAGATCCACTTTCCATCTTGAATGAATAAACAGGTACTGACAAAAAGTCATACCGATCTGAATATTTTGAAACTTCAAATAATCGCAACTCTGATTGGAGTTGAGAATACTCGATTTTCACAAAGAAACCTACAAAATTGGAGGGAGGGTTCTTCTATCTCTTCGTTTGAGAGTAACAAGTTTGTTCAAATTAAGACACATACCAGAATGCTGGTCATGCAAAGTGATAATAATAATAAAAATAAAGTTGCATCCAACCATAATATGAATTGTTATATTGAGTTTTCATAAGTGCAATCTCATGGGTATCATCACCCATATAAAATACAGTTTTGATGAAGAAAATATACCGGTTGCACAGTTTCAAGGTTAAATAGGTCCTCCAGAAATACAGAAACAAGCTCTAATACTGCTATGTTGATTAGCGCTGAACACTTTCACAACTCAGACTGATATTGGATATTGATTCCAAATTTACAATCGAAATGGATAATTCAATGAAGAAATATCAAGTGTTTATGGAAACCCTATCTATCCAGTCGATTAGTAATAGAAAATACATTTTCTGTTCTATTCCTACTGAAAAGACTCCAGAATTGTTTTATAATGGTGGATCTTCATCTAGACATGGTAACTGAAAATCATGTTTCCTCATGATTGAACATTGATATTTGAAGAAATATTATATTATCGAATTGTGACAATATCATTTTGACTGATTCACTCATCACATAATCTGACCAATCACAAGCCAGTGACAACGTATGCCTATCGCAGAAACATCAGACTTTGCGACGGTATTCTAATGGAGCCAAAAAATAAGTGAGTGTGGCATCATCCACTAGGCGAATAGCGCTGCTCTGGATGAAATCTAAGAGCATCAGCGTATTCCTGGGTGCTAAACCCCATACATGGAAGCAGTATTCTGAAAGTGGACGGATCTGTTCTTTCCAGATCATGAGTAGCTGTTGTTTTGTAAAGGAGATTTTCGCACAGAACAAGAAATCGAGTTTTTGTGAAACAGCATTTGCGATGGATCGAGTATGATTTTTCCATGAGAGAGAATTGCTGATGATGAAAATACATCAGGTTTGCGTATTGGTGGCGTTAAATTCAACCAGTTTGTTCGTTTCTCATACTGTAATTTCCGCGAGATCCTCATTGAAAGCGTTGGCCTGCCTTCTTCGCAAGTTCCTAGCTTCCTGGGATGAAATGGAAACTCTGGAAGGGATCGCAATATGTAGATTACTATCGCCTGCGAAGCTTTGGATAGGGCAAGTGGTTGCTCCCAATAGATCGTTGATATGAAGCAGGAACAATGTGGGTGACAAGATTGATCCTTGTGGAACGCCAGGATTGATCGCAATGGTATCAGGCGATCCGTCCACCACCACATTGCCTGAAAGTAGTTTCGATAAAAGATGGCATAGCTGAGGTGGTGAGCCGTATAATGATAGTTTGTGGAGCAGTCCAAACACGGTCAATATATCTAGCGCTACAGCTAGAGAGTCCCCATGTCGAGCCCCATGTTTTTCTAATGGAGTTTGACATATATATGGGTGACGTAGGCAAGTGCATCTCTAGTTGATCTTCGGTGGCGAAAGCCATATTAATCATTCCAGAATTACGTCATTTGACAGGTTGCTGAGGGGCAAACTTTGTATTTTGTCAAGATCTGTCATAGAAAACTAGAGAGAGTGGGATCGTTTTCATTGGAATCCGAGTTGGAACCAGAAAGAATTTCATAATTTCGTTTGGTGAAACTGTTATTATATTGTGGATGTGGCAGAGGGACGGCCTGGGCAATGCTCATCAAAGGTAACCCACATAGTTTGTGTGCCCCTCAAGAAACCATGTCAAAATCACGTGTTCTAGAATGATCAATTGTCTATCAATTATGATAGCTGAGCTTACCAGATATTTGATGAGCTCAATGTAAATGGTTTTCTCCATCACTTTGGAGATGACCGATAACAGGGCAATTGGACTATAGTTGTTGGACAGGCTATTGTTTCCTTTTCTGGAGATTAGTTGGCTCTAGCTATTGGCCAGCAAGATGGAAAATTGCTCGACTTGTCGTAGGAGGAGGTAAATAGCTTGCAGAGAATCGGTGTCAATTCTGGTCTTTTTCGAAATAATGGTTGGAATGCCATCAGGACCTTTGGACCTTTGACATCAAGCGGAACGCGTCTGATAGTGCATTGACAATAGACAGGTCTAACCAATCACAAACCAGAGACAACGTGTGATTATCGCGAAAACATTAGGTGTCTCTCAATTCTGATAGATATCAGCGTTGAAGTTCTCAACATGTAATACCATGGGTAGCGAAGCAAAGTCTTTCAGTTTGGCATACCATGATTATGGCTGTACTTAACAGAATGAATCACTGATTTATAATAAATCCTTTTTATGCTTCGTCAACGAGATATAGTCTAGCAAAATACCTTATAATATGAAAGATAGTTTTTGTTCCAGACGTATTTATTGGAACATTGATGTAAGTTGCTAGTGAAGGATTCATTCAATCTATGCTATCCATTTATCCAGATTTTTTGTATTTGGATTTGCGATTTCTCTTTATCACCTGATGAAGATATATTGGATTTTCCTAACAATGATTATTATCTCTGTCATGATAGGTAACACACATATTATCTTTGGAATCATGAGAAAAACCAGGAAAAATTGAAAATTTCACTGTTTTTTGGGAACATCATAAAACGCACCAGGAAATTCTACTAGATAGTTCCCGATTCGGATTCAGCACCACAAAAAAATAGAGTACGATGATGGAACTCACTCATGAATTTTTGCATGGGAAAATACCATTTGCCTCCTTTAACTACATATCTCGTATATTTGAGGTTTCATATATAATGCTACAATATTTTAGTTGCTTGTGATTATAAAATGCTGAACTTTGCGTATGGCATTGGAATATTGGATTTTCTAACAATTTCCTTTGAAAAAACATTCATTGCACGTCGTGTGACCTGGCCAACATTGGTATTATGTGATTCACATGATGATGCTTCTCGTTGAAACTAACTCCTAGATCTTTGCATTCATTTATACGTAGGGTTGGGATTTAAATACACACTAAGTTCCATCACATTTATTCAGAAAAATTCAGATATCATTTTTGGAAAGACTTACCGGAGCTATTTGTGTGAATGGTCCCAGGAATAGGTTCATAACAGTTAGACAGGCAATCATCAGTGGTGGTGAAGAGAGACATAAGGGACGTGTTAAATTCCTCAATCCTCCTGCAGATATGAACTGAACGACATTCAGGGTGTTAGTGACTTCCTGAAATGAATGGAACATCCAGTATGAAGGTCGGTCAATTCACAATAATAAGACCAAGAGCAAGACTTGACTTTCGAGACCAAGACAAATACCAAGGATCCCTCCCAAGAGTCTTGATCTTGGTCCTGAGAGAGAAATAATGAACTTAAATTTATCCAATATTGAGAAAAATCTGATGGAAGATGTAATGGCATTTTATTTCAGTTATTTATTCGTCATATGGTAGGTTTTTGAGTTTTTTTCACTCAAAATTCGTACATTCTTCAAATTCAGTATTGCAATTTCGAAGTTTACAACAAATAGGTGTATGTTGTGAGGTCATAGTGGGTCATACCTCCTTCTATCGAAGATAGAAACATATTCAATATAAGAGTTATTTGGTTTGAATTTGAAATTCTTCAAAATATTTTGGTAACTTCCGACCCTTCTGAACTTTTTTTCTGGCTTGTCGAGCATCGGCCTGTATGCTGTTTGGGTCTCATTCAATGTATATTTGAGGTTTCCTTATTATTATATTCTCATAGTATAAGAAGAAATTTATTTCGCTCAATTATACGAACAAATTGACAATTTCAAATACTGTGAAATATGAAATATCTATTATATGCATATTGACTGTCGGATATTTGAATTGAATAATTTATATTTCTAGACGCAATTTGATGCGAGGCCAAGACTATCAAGACAAAGATGAAGACTGGGCCAGTCTCGTCTTGGTCTTGAAACATCAAGACCAATACCAAGACCAAGACTACATTGATTTCTCGAGACCATCAAGACGAAGACTAATCAGTCTTGGTCTTGGTCTTGGTCTCTCGAAGCTCTAAGTGAACGCATGCAAATTGGTTCTTGTTGAAATTAAAAAAAAACGTCGCTCTTGTGTAGAAAGTCCAAAAATCCATAACTGAACGTTTATTGAAGAAGGAAGTGAATTTGGACAATTATGTAACGTATGCATATTCGTAGAACTATTTTTCCAGTGTTACTTATATTTCACGATAAGCTACTATGCATACAATTGTAGCGTGCACATGCGCAGTAGGGATTTTTTGTTATCACAATAAAAGTGTTTCCGAATCACTGCGTCTGAAGTTGTCGTATACTCAATCACCCAATCAGATGAGACGAGCAGTTTGAGGTAATTATCATCTCTAATTCATTTTTTCTTACTAGTATGGGTCGCACGAGTGGAAGCAGCAGTCGATAGGGAGAACGCATGTTTGGCAACTTGTATGCAGGAGTCAGTAGGACCAGGATTCCTATGGTCCTTGCGGCAAAATCTGGGTATTCCGATGCATATATTATGCCAGCTGTTGTTCCCAGAGAATGTCCGATGTATATTATTTTTCCTCTGTGGCCGGCGTGGAAAGTGACGAGCTGTAGCATTGCAGGTAGATCTTTTAGAGCGATATCGTCTACACTGAAACAACCAAGTGAAATCAAAATAATTCATTTCTGCTTCTTAACAGTGCTCAACATATTAATAAGCTGTGACAAACTTCCTCATTTCAATTCCTAAGGAGCTGCATATGTGAGTTTGGATTCGTCGGGATCAAACTGTGCGGATCATGAAATATCGTATTCATTTCCATTAACTACTTCAGGTTGTCAACTTGAACAGGGATAGTATGTTCCTGATTATCTTTAGATATCATATTTGAGAAAGAATCAATAGATCAAAAAGATCATAGGCAAGAAGGAGAGCTCAAAGTCATCCTCACACTTTAATGCTGTAATTATTCATTGGGAAATGTTTCGGACTTTTGAGAGTCCATTTTCATCCCAGTTCAGATGCTATTGAAGGTGAAACATTGTTGAAGTTGGTACCGGTGCCTATCATCATAATATCCTCGTTGACATTGTTTTATATAATTGAGAATAAACATTAAGGACTGAGAGCGTGTACCTGTTATGACTTTTGTTTCATAATTCCTTTTCTTCTTTCCTATGGAGAATTACAGTTCACTTTGAGCAATCATGAATTTTCACCAGAGATTAGATGGAAAATTATTTAGGCGAATGATAACTTTGGATACAAAGCCTCACAGCGCTGATGCGATGACAATAATATTATCGCCAAAATATTGTATTGTGAACCTAGAAAAAGGTAGTCCAAATACCAAATATGTCGACTGAACATGAGAAGGTCACGCTTTGGACGTGAGAGATGACGTATTTGAAATATTTTCTGATGACAAAAATCTTGATACACGAAAATTTTGCCAGTTACTGATTCTCAAAAAGAATTAAATGAATCATTTCTTAGTAATATTGAAGAGGACCTTGATCCTCATTTCATTTTTGTCGAATTGGATGTTTCATTCCAAAATGTCAAGTTCATATTTGAAGCAATCAAATATTTTGCAGCACGCGATGAGTGCTTGTGAAACCAATTCATCTTCGTTGAATCATCAGGACACTAAAGTTTTTCGAATTTCTGCAAGAGAAACAATCGCATAGAACGTCTAAAGGAGCGATTGATAATCTAATATTTTTCAATACTTATTCTTTGAACACTTCTCGGCCAAGGTGTCACTGACGATCGATTGAATTTCCGTCCAGACTAATACAAATTTGATATATTCAGCAACTGTGTAGGATCATATGACTACCAATATGATATCATTGTCAAATTTCCACGAAGACTTGCTTCCTGAAATCTCAAATTCATTCCTCCAAAAAGGTCCTCCACTATGATTGAGGACTCAATCACCGTAGTTTTTCTACTCGTCATCATTATCTCGACCTGAATAATTGCTCGCAACCTCAATCGACTCAAGATATTCATAGTTGCCCTCCATATTTTGCCTACTCTTGCTGATCAAAGCATAATTGATAGTGATTATGTAGCAAACGGACTGATAGTTGTTACTAATTCTTTGTTGCTTAGATATTTCTTCATTGTTCAATTTGTTCATGAGTAGTAACTCCTCCTGAACTTCTGCACCAAACTTTTTTAAATAACTAGGAGATTGATGAACCAACACCCAAGGATCATTTGAACGACAAAATTAAGATATGTGAAATAATCATAAAACAATCCCTAATCTATATAATATGTTCATATAGAACTACGAAAATCTTCGCATACCGTATCAAGTTTTGAATTAGTTTCTATAGTTAGTATTTCGATTTTTCTGATGTAATAATAATTATATTCACTATAATCGACTGTACAGTGTGTCCCAGCTAGAACTTGTCACCCTGCTTCTCGCTGTCTCATGCAAAGATCTGAATGAATCATGCGAAACCAGAGATCATCAACTCTTATAGGAAGTTCACAAACAACACGTTATTCCGACCTTTGCGTCTCAAAGACACTGAGTTTGAGGGCAAAGCCGCTGTGGAATACCTGGACAAACGTATGAACTTTTTGCGAATACTGAGTATCTATTGGCAGAGGCCAAAACCGTTATCAGGAACATGTTCCTGCTTCAAGAGAGGAATTCATCTCTGACTATGGACAACAAGCTCCTGATTTACAAGCAAATCACTCGCCCTACTCTCCATACATACGCCTGTCCGGTGTTCTGTAGTAATTCGCCTACTCATATAAGTAGGTTTCAAATATTGCAGAATGAGGTACTCCGTATAATTACAAACGATAATAGATACTCTCTAGTGGCGGATATGCACGCTCAGTGCCATGATCTGCCCCTCATGAGGGATCATATATACTCAAACTTTCAAACAAATTTCATTCCTACCACATTCGCAATAGTCCGTTAACAGACGATATTATGTCGATTGAAGATCATGGCCAACGCAGAAAGCACTGGTTGATATACGAAGCTTGCGATATTTTCCACCACAACAGACTGAATGCATCCTCCTTACGTCCATAAAATGATAACATTTGCGACTTGAAGGTGGTTCGATCGGCTTGAAGATTGAACCATTTGGTCCAGCTGAACGACCTCCGAGTATATCAGCCCAAAGTGGGCACGTCCTGTGCTCAGCGCACTTCTGCTGGCTCCGGCCGGCAGATATACACACAGACTTTGTTCCGCAAGTTCGATGTGCAATAATTCAGTCTGTCAGCTGAATGCACGTCGAATTATCATAATAATTATGGTTTTTGTTTTTGGATTTTCCAGAAATAGCCAGTAGCTGAATTATAGAGATCATGTTTTGGCGTATCAGTTGTAGGAAGAACTGTACGCCTTTTTGAATAGTCTTTTTGTGAGGATATTTGATAGTTGTGGCAATGCCGAACACTATGATAATGAATGAGAATCCGAAGTGCTGTTTATACGAATGCCAACTGTATTACCGATAAGATTGAGATTTGTGTGTTAGCTAGATGGTCATAAAAGATCAATGTTGTGAATATACAATACGTATAGTTGGCATTTCGTAGAGAGGTAGAAAAAACCCTTATCGGAAAAAAACCCAACACTTCGGATGATGATATATAATAATAATAATAATAATAATGATATGTTTTTATTCATATTGCCCAAATTACAAAATAATCAAAACCTCGATGGTACACAATTTATCAGACAATATGTAAGGGCGGAATTCAGTCACTCCTATCCGAAGATAATAGTGACTGCTCTATGTACAGAGTATAAAATGTTATATGGTATACAGAAAAGTTAATTGAATATACAAATATATACACGAGTGGGAAAATTCCCCACAATGTCAACATTAATCCAAATATTTGATGCTGAGCTGCTCCCCTCTCAGATACGGACAGGATAAAGATTAAGCGAGATCCACCTGGAGGGTTCCTATATAATTTGTATTTTCATTTGTTTTGTCTTGTACGTACTGTATTTATACATGTTGATTCTTGACAATGTTATTCATACCAAGTGTATGTTTTGTAAATATTTTGATAATAATAAATAGATTGAATGGATTTGAAGTTATCACCCTCTTCATCTCTGAAGTCGTTAAAAACATTGAGAATCGCTTTGACACATCGATTGTTATTTGGCGGGGGGCACATTTTTCTCAAATTATCATATCTCAAAGTTGAAACATTGATGCGGAACAGGCATCACCTTTCAATTTTCAAATTGAAGTATCTGCATTGAATTGTATTTGTAGATTCTCCCTGAAGAACTGAATTCATCAATATATCAAACTTGGGGTCTAGCAGGAACTATTTCAGAGATAATAATTTATATATATATACAGGATGATTCAAGATTCAGGATTCTAATCAATGTATCTTCCCAATCAAATTTCAGTAGAAAGTATTAATCACAAGTTGAGATACGAAAATGAAAGCCGTTTTGACCGATGATGAATAGTTTCGACACAAAAAAAATACTGAAATTGAAAAATCGCGATTTATATAAGAACTAATTGTGAAGTGATGTTTTTGGAGAAATTGTTATTTTATTTGTATTATGCTCATAACATTACCAGGATCAACATGATTTCAAGTATCACTGCATTTTGCTCTAGACTTTGTAGTCTTCACTGTGGGGTTTAAGTTCATTCAGCAAATCTGAAGAATAACCTTCATTAGTTTTCAATGTACTAGCGTGTATGTTGATTTATTTCCAATTTCAATAACAAATACGCATTGTACGCACCCAGAGCCAAATCAAGACCAACTCATGCTAATTATTGGCAATGATAATAACATTCATGTGTTAATAAATTCTGTCAAGCAAATAATTTATTGGTCTTGCATTCTAATTCACTGTATTATACACTTTCTTGAAAGAGTTATTCAACAGACCAATATTCCCAGTTGGTAAACCCACTTGGACTATAATAATATATGACTTTCTTCAATGATATCCAATTATAACTGAATGGCTCACTTATATATAGGTTTATAAGGATTCAATTCCGTTTATCATATGTTGATTCAATTATTTCATGTGAAGTTGTGAGATAATGAATACGTAACAGTTTATAATAATTTTGTTCCGGAGTAGATCATCATATACAACGTATTTTGGCCTCTTCTCATATTGCAGTTGATAAATTCGAATATTCGAGTAAATAAAACATTATCAGAAACTGAGAATTAATCTGTTTAGGCATGAAAGAAACTTTTTTCTCAAAATGAAATAACGCCATTTCTTATGACTCAAGACTTAATTATTTCAATGATGTTTGCTATAGTCTCTGCAGAGTCCCTCGAGATAAATTAGGCAAAAAACATCGCTGGCGGCATGCGGTCCTACTGATTTTTTTCAAGGGACCGCCAGGCGCGGCGTATCCCTTTCAATCAAGCTGTAGCAAGTGACTTCGCAAAGACAAGAACCGTCGTTGTTAAATATCATGCATCTACAGCAATCCAGATTTTTTTTTGTACTAGAATCTGATGTAAATGTTTCAACTTCGGCCGTTCAAGCAATCCTTTCATACATATCGGCGAAATATTCATACAACAACAGTTTTCTCATTCATAACAGCAGTTCTGTTTCAGGATACTAAATCTGGTATATACGTAGATAAACTTTTTGTAGCTGTCGATAGATGACTAATGGAAGAGGTATGTGATTTCCAAAAGCAATAACATAATTGCAGAAAAAGGCTACAAAACTGCACACATTGTAAGAAAGTATTTCCATTCCCTGGACACCAGACAATTTTTACAACTTTATAGAAGTTCAATACGCCCTTTAGTCGAACCTAATGTCGTGGTATCATTCAATGATAAATACAGGATCCTCATAAACACTTCTTCTGTAGATATGAACCACATCTTCATCCTCAACGCGAGCCTCAACGTCGATGAAAGACTTCGTGGCCATAGTCTGAAGCTCCCCAAAGAAAAATTAAGAAGCTCCACAAGCATTTGTTCTGCAATGGAGTTTTCTACGAATTGAACTCTATTACTGATGATATAGTCACGGCTCCATTAATAACGCCTTCAAGAACAACAACAACAATTCGTCTGAGAGTACGTTTCGAGTTTATAGTGCGTATATGGCCTCTCTCATCATATGCATATGCTTATGCTCTCGACTGATGTTGAAGTAGTTGAATTATCGCATCGCATGAGGATATTGGATTATCGTTATACCATGAGAATTTAGATCATTAAAAGATGGCAATGTCTCTATATGAAGCATTATATAGCTAATGAGAAGAAGAAACGATCTTTGACCGATTTTCAATTCGAAAATGAGTGGAGTATTGTTTGGCTTCAGGGTTTTAGGAAAAAAAATCTTGAATCCTGAAAATATGTCTTAAACTCCATAATTGACAGATTGCTGATTCCACACACACCCACGCTATACCTTCTGGTAGTCCTCAATTATTTCAGCTATAATCTGATCTAGAATCGATAAATCTGTCAATGAATTTTGTGCGGTTTTCGAAATGAATATATTCAACGAATTGAGGACTTCAATAGATTTTTTATAGTAGTGAGCAGACTCTTCTCAGTTCTGTTCATAACATTTAGTTCTTTCAGATGAAAGGAAAATCAAAGAACTAATGTGGATTTCAATAATATTATCTGTTGCTCACGAAGCAATCACCCATATCGATTGCATTTTCTCATTTTCATCATGACTGTACAGGACGCTAAGGCAATGGCCGTCCTGGTAAAGTATTGTTAGATCTTTGGAAAAAATGTAGGAAATAAAGAACATGATCATTTGGCCCTTGCGTATTGTACAAGATTCTTCTATCCCACTATGATCAATGATTCAATTAGATGAAAACATAATAAATATGTGATAGATATTACTCTTACCTATAATCCCAGTACTCTCTCTGAGTAGAATTCATATTCTCGTGTCCTTGGGAATATTCAGTGCCACGATAGTTTCCCAACCACACATCATAACCGGCTTCGTATAAGAGAAAGGCTACAGAAATAACAAAAAAATTAGTCTACTAGGTGAGTGCAATGATGCAGGTTATCGAATGCATTTACACAATTTCTCTAAATACGACAAAAAATATGAATACCTGCCGATAGGACAACTGTTGGTGAAAGCAAAAATATAAATAATATTTCAAGGCTTCTAACTGTATTAAGTTTCAGCCATCGTTTTTTAAAATTGGTTGATTTGGTTACTGAATTCTTTTGAGATCATCATCTGCAGAATTAATATAGTATATAGTGGTGATGGATCAATTGATGTCTACAAGCCTATGTTTTATGACATTAAAGAAACGCATCATGAACTTTCTCGCATTATGGCTTTTTTATGATCAATTTCATGTACTTATGAAGATATTTCATTTCTAGTGGATCAATTTTGTGAATAATCATTGAGTTCAATCGCTATACCTGAACTGATCATCATTGAAAGCATTCACATATCAACTTCAGTAACAGATTTGTATTGCAAATTACTTTTATGGTGTATGAATGTTAGGTATCCATATGAATAACAAGACAGGTTCAGGATTGCTGTTTAATGATTGCCCTGCATAGTATAGTTCAATCAACGAACGCTTAAAACGGTCGACTATAGGAAATTCGCAAATTTTTGTACAGTGGTACAGGAAAGTGCCATAAACAACATAGTAAAAGTCCTGACCCATAGGGCATGAGCGGCGCAGCAGGAGAACGTTTGAACGTAATTTTTTCAAGTTGTTCTCTATTAAAAGAAAATTTCGGCCTTAAGCATTGAAATGAAAGCATACAAAATTGAACAACATGAAATTTTCTTATGAAAATATAGTCATACTGTCTTCAGTGGATATTTTTTGAGATACAGGCGAGACAAAATCGGGAAGTAACGAAAATATAGTTTAATGGTATGAAATTCATGTTCAAGTCCCACTATTTCAGGCGTTTCATGAAATGTATACCTATAGTCTATTCCTAGAATGATTGCAGTGAGTGGGTTTCCAACATGAAGAAGTCATTTATGAACGATGACTGTAAAGTACTCATCTTGTGATTGTGATGTTATGTTTCCAGTAGTTCATGACATGTTGGTGAGAAAGTGGATTAGTGAATACAAGTGATGGATGATGAAGCTAAATGTTTCCAGAACATGAACCACGGTGTTGTTTATCCAACTTGTAGAACAAGATATATCAGAGTTGACTCATTCACAGCAACAGCCTTCAAGTCACAAGATCCCGTATATGTTTGCGTTCAGCTGGATGAAAGAAAATCGAGGGGAGGATGAGAACTGAACAGCATCTTTTGCCGATTGTCTACTGGATGCTGGATGTGGGAGACGATGTGGAATTGTGGATACCGAAAAGTTAGAATTCCATGCGCCATGGTGTGCGGCATGTGCCATGGTACCTATATTTGTACGAAATGGTGCATTATTTCTAGATATGGAATATGTTATTGAAGGTGATGAATAATCATTGATGATAATTGAGACCCATACATTCAATTTGTTCGTTCTTGATGAGTACTCCAACTATTTCTGTTAGGTACTAAAATCCAATAACTACCTCCCCTCACCAATTCGCAACTCTCCAAATGAAAAACGCCGAAATTCATTCACGTTAAACACCAATGTCATACCATTGAATTATATTCTTGACACTTCTCGATTTTTTCATCTCCAATATCTCAGGAAATATTCTTTGAAAAGAAATAGTACTGATAACTCATTTCATTGGAAATTTAATATATTTTCATTCCTTGTTATTCGAAGTATTCGAGAAAAACTTAAAAAATAACCTTCAAACGTTCCCTTATCGCCTTTCTGATCCCTTATGAGTCAGAACCCTCAGTATGTTGTTCATAACTGTTTCTTCTACCATTCTACGAAAGTTAACGACTTTTTGATTTTTTTTCCTATTCTTCCTATTGTTTAATATCGATGATATCATAATTCTTATTGTCAAATGAAGTTGATTTCGATAATCATTCTATCAAATGGTACTTATCGTTAGCTTCACAGATTTTGAATTATTTCTCATTGGATAAGTGGAGTTCTTCAAATGAAAAATTATAACTGTGAAAACGCTCTATCTCTTGTCATAGTTCATTTTCAGTGTTGCGCATTAGTTTCAATAAAAATTGACGACAAAAAAGTAAAAATTCGTTGCACATTTCAATTCCATTCCATTCCATAATAATTTCGATATTATCAGGATGATTTTCCCATCAAATACACTTGTTGATGGACTCTGTAATATCTACCTGATTGAAAATCTCTTATACTCCTCAAGTATTCATAACAAACACTCACCCATAGAACTTTTTCCCAATCCCAAGAATATGGCGGACGTACTTTGGACACCATGCAATAAAAAGACAGCTGGTTTGGTAGAAGCTAACACTGGAATTCGAAAGACAGTCAGTATGTATCCATCTGAAGTTTTCACTTTGTATTCCATGAATGGGTAGCCTGATTTCTTGATTATTTGAGGCTGAAAACATATCTCATAAAATCACCATAATCGATATCGAAAAATAATAAGTATAACGGAACTGATTTGAAACGTGTTGTCAACGATTTTGATTCTAGTTTGCTCTCAAGTTTCGAATATTGTCTCTTCTTGGTTAGAACTCTGCAATTTCCTGCTTCTATTCTCACTCCTCACAGTGTGTATATGAGTTTTCAATCTATAGGACATTTTTGTGTCACTTGTCAATTGAGACATACTTACTCAACACATTTTATGAAGAAATTGTTTTTGAAGTTTCACATTGATGTTGCCTTCTTGTCACTTTTACGTGAGTACATGGCTTTGTTATTTCGATAGTCTTACTATGTTATTTTTTTTTTCGGAAGCCTTCCTTCAACACTTCCGCTGACGATGGAATATAACGATAGTCGAAAAAATGTTGATATAATTCTGAAATGAATTCGTGGAGATGACTCACTGTGTTTTGTGTCTGAATCTCCTCCAAATTGTGCAAAGGAGTGAGGAAGGATAATGGGTAAAAAAATTATGGCAATTAATTACTATTTGGGGAGGCGCTGTAACCCAATATTTTGAACAAGTAAAATAAATGTCCATGTTGGCAACACCAATTTTATATCGTAAGTGATTATTATTAATTATTATAATAATTTAGGTATTTTTATATACAGGGTGGATCATTTAAATTTATTATGGATAATAGTTCTTCCCGAGAGCCGCTAACAAAAAACTAGTCCACACAAAAAATGAAGGATTCAATGGGGGCCAAAGAATGACCCTACCCATACGGCCCTAGGAGATGAGATGTGTTTTTTCAATAGGATTCATGTTCTACAGAGAAAAACAAATCAAAAATGTCTCTAGCAAATTCTTTTTTGAGCCCCTTAAAGGCTCCAAATTTTCAATATTGTTATTTGAGTTGCAATGATTTTCATGCTCAGGTCAAATTTATGTCTTAAATATGACATGAGTGCAGTTCCAGCATATTACCGTGTTTTTAAGCAAACCCTTAATCTGGTTAACGAATTACATGCCAATGAAGTTTCCTCGTATTCCTCAACTCAATTATCAAAATTAAAAATTTGGAGGAGGGTAATTCTTTGGCCCCCATTAGATCCTTCAACTTTCGTTGAAACAATTTTTTGTCGTTGGCTTCCGGAAAAAACTATTATCCATAATAGATTAAAATTGTCCACCCTGTTTATAAGGAAATATATTGAAAATTCACATTCTCCATTTGACATATACCAATATCTTATAAAATAATCAAGGAATTACACTACTGAGTTAATCATGCATTGAAGGGTGATTTCGAAAAAAACGATAATTTGTTCATTTCCATCCCCGAAAATTTTCATGATCACACCCTATATCTTCCAACGAAATTATGTTCATACGGTATCAGCTATAAAGAGGGAGGAACTCGAGGTCATACCCACATAATCAGTTCATGAAATGAACAAATATGGTACATAACGGGAACAAGAAAACTACTTTCCCGACTAGGTATATGTCAGAACATAGACTAATATCTTCACGATATCTATATGCAACGATTCGTAAAGCCGAATACAACTGCAAGTGATTATTTTCTTGATGCTTAGCTGCGCCTCAATTGTTTAGGGAATATAGACCACCTGGAGACCGGTTTCGAGCTCAGGGCTCTCATCAGAGCGGAGGTGTCCCCAGATAGCATTCATGACCGCTATCTGGTGCGAACCTGATCCAACATAAACACATCTCAGTATTCAATACCCACGAGGCGTTCGGCGTCTGCGAGATGGATACGAATGTCACCTGAGTCGAAGAAAAGAAATACTCCAAAACAAATTCCTATTCCAGATGAAATGGGAGTGGCAGGATGCCTTCTAGCATTTTTGAAAACTAGGAAAAAACCAAATACTCAGAGGGGAATGAAATGGTGACAAAGAGGAAGAAACTCAGAGTCATGACAACATCATAAACGAATAGGTACCCTTACGAGGGGAGTGTATCAACTTCGGAGTTCGTAATGCTCTCTTTAATGAAGAGTGTCTCCTTTGAGAGTTAGGTATGAACAGTGGTTCATCACCAGTTTTTTATCCAAATTATTTGTGCACTCGAGGAAAGCTACAGTCGTTATTCCAATGAAGCTGTGCTCTATGAATTGGACCCATGTTTTCATAAAAAAATTTAAATTATAATGAATTATATATTGCTCAGTTATATAGAGGAGCATAATACTAATCTGAGATTTTTTCACGATATTCCAGAAGAAATGTGAAATATGGGAGATATCTCATCATTTGAGATCCTGTACTCACAAGAACTAAATAATCGGTCAGGACAATTCACTTAGGATCTCAACATTTGTCAGGCAGATTAATGGAATATAGAGATAACCAAGATAAGTTTTCATGAACATTAAACTCAAATTCATGTCGTATTTTCATATTTCTTCGAAAATTTTTACATAAAAAAACGAATATCATCGATCATTCAATTGAACAGTCGAAAAATTAGTCGACATTGTGAGTGTATGGAATCACGTCAGGTACCCTAACGAGAAAAGTGTATCAACTTTGGCGTTCGTAATGCCTCTCTACAAAGGAGGGTGTTGCCTTCGAGAGTTAGATATAAACAGTGGTTTTATTCCAGTTTTTTCAAAATTATTTAGGCACTTCAGAAAAGCAACAGTCCTTGTTTCAATGAAGCATAAAGCTAATCGAATTTGATCTTCATGATATTCCAGGAGCAATGTGAACTATGGCAGATATCCCATCATTTGAGATTCTGTACTAACTAGAACTGTATAATCGTTCAGGACAATTCACTTATAAGCTCAACATCTGTCAAACAGATCAATGGAATATGGAGATGTCCAAGATATGTTTTAATGAACATTAAATTCGAATACAGATCGTATTTGCATTTTTCTTCGAACATTTCTCCATGAAAACGACTATTATCGATCAGTCAATCAAACAGTTGAGAAATTAGTCGACATTGTGAATGTATGGAATCGCGTCAGGTAGGTAGATATATACCCGGCTCAACAATAATTCACAGCTGCTGATTCTTTCCTAGAGGCTGAGCTGTGCCCAAATTGTTCAGGAAGTACCTACAGACCAGTTTTGAGCTTTCGACCCTCATCAGTGCAGGGGTGCCTCTACATGCATTGACCGCCATCTGGTGCGAACCTGACTGAAGATGAACACATTCCAGCATTTATAATCCACGAGGCGTTTGACATCTGCACCACCTGAGTAGATGAAAGAAACACTCCAAAACAAGTTCTTATTACTGATGAAATTAGTGTGGCTGGTTGCTCGACTGGCGTTTTTCAACTAGAAGAAAGCAAAAATCTCAAAGTGGAATGAATTGATCACAAAGAAGGAGTAGGTAATGTAGCGTTCCTGAACATTTTTGACGCAGTTCACTTGCAGCTCTGAATTCTTTGTCATGAATCGTTGCATAGATAGCGAGAGGATGTGAATCAGAATATTTTGCATGGCATATAGCCAAGAAGATGATATTTCCCTCGTTATCTACCATTTCCGTTCGTTTTATGACCTAATAATATGGTAATGACTTCAGGTGTCTCTCTGTCTCTCTCTTTGTAAAAATTTCATTTCACTTTGAGTGTTCGGCTTTTTCCTGGTTGGGTATCAGCTATCTTTGGAGGATAATAATCCACTTAATTATACTGGATGTGTATAAATGTATCGGTCATATGTGATACCAATTTCACAAATCACTCTGTATGAAATGTATTCATTTATTCATTCATTCATTCATTCATTCATGATAGAATGAGAATAGTATATTGCATGCCCAAATATCTTTTTCGATATTTCATTATTACAACGAATTATCAGACATCACCAAAATGTTTTTATTTTTCACTCTGTATACAATTACATGATCTGAACCATCCGAATGATATCGATTTATATGAAGGTACGTTAATGAAATGAGAGAAGGAAGACTCACTTGATGAATCTAAAAATGATAGGACACACATTTGAGCCGACTCTTACGTAAGAATTCAGAAAGTGATTTGAATTGCCTCACATTTAGCTATTTGAATTTATACAGGGTCCTGCATCTCACCTCCCGTCTTCTACAGTTACCAGTCGAGTCAGGATTTTGATATTTTGCACACGTCAATTCTCTCATGGGGCGCATACCAGGAAAATAAGTTCGATTATACAGGGTGTCCCAAAAAAGTGTCATAATGATTTATTTTTTTTTAAATTGCATGCCATTTATTTTGTTGCACATTTGAATGCTTTTAGTGGTTACCTACGTACTCCTGGAATTCAATTGAAATCGGTTCAGTAACATTCACGTGAAAAGATATGATGAAAGAATTCAATTTTGCACTACTTGTCAAAAACATTGATTTCAAAGAAGCGAGTGCATACTCAATAGAACTATAAGAGATACATATCAAATAAGGCCTAAGAGGACCCTCACCAAGTTTGATTGACACGAATTATCACAGGGTGTGTAACATTTAGTGGCAAACTTCAGATATCAAAGCACTATATTTTTTTTATTCCGAATTGAAGCCCATGTATATTTTTTCATTCGATGCGTGAATGAAAACCGAACTTTTAATCTTGATACAACCCTATCGAAATTTTCATCGTATCGAAAGTTATTTGCCTAAAACTCATTTCATCAACTATCCTGATTGTCATTCAGATGGTTGAAAAAAAAAAAAGTTGCTTTGAGAAGCAAATTATTGACATTTATTTCTAATGAAGTGTCAGGAGTCTATTTCGGCTTGAGTAGTTCGAATTCAATACATTGTTAGCTGATTATTATGAAATGTTAGAGCTGTTTATAATGAAATATTGTTTTTGTCATGTAGTACAACCGGGAAGAGCTCGTAGATATAATTTTAATATCAGCAGAATGTATGAAGAATCTTTTTTTGGCCAGTCGAGTATATGCACAACGTTATCCGGGACGACGTCATCCATATAAAGGAAGCCTGCAGAACTATTGGATAGGTTTGTACGAACCGGAAATGTGAAATATATAAAACCAGTTAGAGATAAACCGGTTCAAAATGGAGAAAATGTATTGGCTGTGCTGTTATCTGTTACGGAAAATCCTTTCATTAGCCAGCAAGCAATCGCAGATGCCCTGGACGTGGGCGAATGAACTGATGCCTATCATATTCAGTTTCATCTAGAGTTTGAGAAACGTGTCGAATTCTGCAACCTAGCGCAAGGTGAAATTGGAGGAAATTCCGACTTTTTTGATAAGATTTTGTTTTCGGATAAGGCCACCTTCCATATCAATTTGAAAATGAATTATTGGTGAACATGTTAGTGGTCCCTACTTATCTCGATGGGAATCTGAATGGACCTATGTATCTGGATTTTTTGCTTTGTTAAGGATATCGTTCATTAAGATCCTCCTACCACACCAGAAGATATGAAGCGAAGAATCCCCAATTTATTTCAAACCATCACACCCGACCTATAACGAAGGGTGGCAAGGTAATTTCATAATCGTATTCGCTTGTGCCTGCAAGAGAACGGAAGACATATCGAACATACATTTTAATATTTAGGTCATACCGAGGGTAATGCTCCTATTCGTTTGTTTTTGAAAAGTTTATTACTAGAACGACTGTGATCTTCAATACATTCATGATGTGTATAAGATACAGACGAATAGTTCTGTTGAACTTCCGATATGTTGTATCAAGAAATTGTTTATCAATGCTTCCTGCGTTTTTTATTTCCTCGAATGACTGTTGGAATAGTTGATGAAACGAGTTTTCGGCAAATACCTTTTGATACGATGAGATTTTTGATCGTGTTGTAATGAAAAAATACAGGGGTCCCACTTTGGAATGAGGAACATATAGTCTTCGAAATTTGAGAAGTTTGTCACTGAATTGTGCACACCCTGTGATGATTTATGTCAATCATGAGCGATTCTCTTAGGCACTCTCCTTCTTGTTATTGATGTTTTTGACCAGTGGTGCAAAAATTTTACATTTTGTTATTTTGTTTTTTACGTGAATATTACCGAACTAATTTCAATAAAATTGCATGAGTATGTAGGTAACCACTGGAAGCACTCAAATGTGCAACGAAATGTATAACATGCCATCTAAAAGAATATATCATCATAACGTCACATTTTTTTGGGACACCTTGTGTGTTCAAAATTATTTCCCTGGAATGCGCCATATGACACGAATGGAGTTTGCGAAAATCCTGACTCAACTGATAACGAAGCTATATAGAAGACGGGAGGTGAGATGCAGGTGCAGGACCCTGTATACATTGCGAGTCCGTTACTGAATGGTATCTCTATAACCTTCGAATTAAAATGCGAAGCAATTTGGTACGTTCCACAGATTTCATCAACACTAACAATGAGACATTCAACTTACCACTTTGTCGACAGCTGCAAAGTCGTACCAGCAATTCGAATTATTCCTCATGTTGAAGTAGTCCCTGAACGTGGGGCACACATTGTTGGGATTTTGAGATTCAGCGCCGAAAATAAAGAACAATACATAAATTGAGGTGCAGTACCACATCGCCAATCATCTATGGCCAATCTAATGCCACACGGTAGTTATCTCGCGCTGGAAGTTGTAAATTTCACTGAACAGTCCGATATTATGTATATTTTGTAAGGTACCTATTACCGCACTTTCTTCTGATAAATTGATTGGGGTACGTTGCACTATCGCTACATACTAGATCCCTTGAATTAGTTTGAAACTATGCGGTCTCTTAGTTGATTATAAGGAAGTAATTTATGTTCTTCTCTTACTCTGTAGGACTTGCAATTCCAATGTTTTTATTATCACAACCTCGTAGTTGATTGACTAACGCTGTTCGAAGAGAGTGTGAAACAATAATGAAATATGTTCGAGAAGAAATAAATGTTTGTTCAAATTTACTAATTAGGATGAGCCAATCATCTGGATTTGTCACCTTGAGCGAGTAAAGGATATTTCTGAAAAAAAATTCATCATTATCATAAACAATGAGGACGAGGTCTGCAATATTGTCAGGGATACATCATGATATTCTGAGCTGACATTCTGGTGGAAACATTCACTGATAGTACAGATTGACCGAGAAAAATGAACTGTTGATCAATTATTGAACCGCATCAAGCAAATTTTTTCAGTCAATTCATGTTTAAATATTTTTTCGAATTTCCAAGATGTTTGGATGCGGTTTATTCAACTTTTTTTATCGCTTGGTGCGCACGAAAAGGAATCCCTATAATGTTAGAAGAACCTCGTGCGTTGCTAAGGAGGATAGGAAGAGGAGGAAGGTGTTATTTTTTGATTTTTTGGGATCATAAGTTCTTCAAGCAAATAAATTCCAGAGCATCCGTGTTCTATAGAGGAACGGGTTTTGATATAGTGTTGTTTCATACATTCCAGGGTTGACAACGGAAGAATGTGCTGACTGCGCTTGTCAAATTTTCCTTGATGTTATTACTTGTCGTTGAAGCAGAAATTCCTGAGGAACAGTTGCCGTGAAAGTATTTAGAAAAAATTGGAAGGTCGCCGACCTTTCTACAGTGTTCCAATGATGTCAAAGTGTAGGTGAGTGTTGCATCACCCACCAGGTGAATTGCTCTCCTCTCCTCATCAGATAATGTTTGGGCGCTGAACCTCGTATGTGAAAACAATATTCTTGAACAGGTCGTATCTGCTTTTTGTGAATTGTGAGGAGCTGTTGAGGTGTAAAGTACCTTTTCGCACGGAATAAAAATCCGGGTTTTTGTGAAGCAGCTTTCGCGATGAATCTGACATGATTATCCTATGAAAGAGTATTTCTGATGGAGACACCAAGCAAAGATAAAGTCGACTTGGTGAGCATGTTGGTATCTGACATTGTTGTATATTCGCGGAGTTGAATTCAACTATGTTGTTGGTTCCCCAGGTTGTTCAATCTCTACTGTGGGTTTCCTCTGATCCAAATCTGTAGAATACAGATAGGTACATTGTTGAAATATCAAAAACATTTGCGATATAATGAAAGTACCTTTGTAGAAAAATCAAGTGATAGAAAAACAATAACATTGATCAACCATTAACCTCACTTTATTAGTTGAAGATTATCGCTAGTCTGGACTCTGGAGTTGGTCATCTTCTCCTTCTGCTCTATCTAGAACATCTACTTAGTCCTCAACCTAAAAATAAGATAACCTCAAACTCAACCTGAAACTGTATAACCTCACAAGTGGGTCATTTTGGCGGGACTCTGGGAAAATACCGCCAAAATAGTGATATCTGACAGGGTTCTATTTGATATCCTATGAAGCTATAGAAACGTACCATCGCATTATTGTGGATTCAAATCGTATATGTATATTGTATATGTATATTGTATATATGTTTGTGACCTGTGTGATCACTGTTTTATACACATACTTATCAGTACCACCCTGACCTGTCCTATACATATAAATGTCTCAAAGATACATTATTTATTTATTTATTTATTTATCTATAATTCAAACTCACTATGAAATATAAGTAGTCGAAGGACGGTCCTCTGCCTACTACCTGCCAAGGGATATAAAATTCTTGGTCAGAATTTGATTATCAGATTCCATATTCACTACTCGCTGTAGTTGACACATCTGGCCACCTGATAACAAATGCCAACCATTTCAGTATATAGTAGTAGATAAGTATAATTTCTGCTATAAACACATATAATAATATCATTGCCAGCTTTGCTATTGCTTATATGCAAATAACTCCTGCCCAGCATATCAGTTGTAGTCTTAGAACGGAGAGTAGCCAACAACGTTTTGACCTGTGGATCAGAAGCTGACTTGAGTAGGCCAGACTGCGTATCCAGCACTCACCTGTCTTTCTTGCTGTGTGACATTCCTGCTCCAAGCTGCCACTTTCACCTATAAAAAATCCTTCTGAGTGAGCTGTATCTAGTCCTTTTTCTATTGGCACTAATCCAGGATATAATGCACTTACCTTACCAAGTATCAGCATAGTTTCAAGTGCAGTATATCTAGCTATCGACCTGTGCACTTCTGGTTTCGATACCAGGGGGGAAGCTAGGTAAGTTTCCAATGCAACTCGCAATCTGTATTGTGCCAAGCTATCACATTCTCATCTTTCATAATCATCACTTGCTTTTCATAAATCACTGCTTCAATTCATCGTGGTTTTTCACTTTTTACCACCATATTGAGTGAACCAATCTCAAGCAACAATGAAGAAATATTGTACTCCCACACCCACCCCCTGAGTTTCATTATTTACATGAACAATTATTGTTTTTTTTGACCCGTTTCTAGGGACTAAGCAAAAAACGTTATAAGTTCAGTTTTCTGGGAAAAAAATGAGAATTCTAGAAGAGAACTCAGTATGGAGAGTACTATCATCTGCGAAACTGGTGAAAGGGCAAGTGGTTGCTCGCAACAGATCATTGATATGAAGAAGAAACAACGTTGGTGGCAAAATTGGCCCTTGTAGAACGCCGGAATTGATGCCAATGATATCTGACGAAGTCACTGCGCCATGCTCCCAATTTGATGAAACCAAATTTGGAATGTTTTCAATCTCAATATCAAAGTGCTAATAAGCATATTCTTCAAAATTATTTTAAAATTTTTCTCTTACCTCTTCAAGTATTAAGAACATTTTTCCCATGAAAATGTGATATTCCGTACCTACTTCTGACCAGAGATATTCGTTCCTATTGCTCTATTTTTAGATAATATTTCTCGGGTTGGTGATTGTGACCTCCACCTGTATGAGATCTGTTATTATTTTTTACGTAGTGTTTTCCGAAAATGATGGAATGCTATATTATTAAAGAAATACCGCGAGCACAACACATTGATCAACTCGAATCAACTCATAAAGTGTTTGAGACTGAATGGCTAGAACGAGATTTTGCAAAAATAACCAGAGAATGAATATACCAGGTGATTGAAGCAAATAAGATGAAATTCGTTATCAAAGAAACTTGGAGAGTTCATACATATTATTATTATTTCATTAAAAAAATATGACTCCTTGCCTATATACCTATATCATTGGGATGTTGCTCAGTGTAGTATATACAAGGTGTATTCAGTGTGTCCCAGATGAAAATTGTCACCCCTCATTTCCGAAGTCGTTGAAAAAATTGAAAATCGGGCGAAGAACACCTTTTTTTTGTAACTCTCATCCCATCTTTCGATTTTCAAGGGAAACACCCTGTATTTCATTGCATCTTTGAATTCGTTCAGAGCAGCTGATCCCATCGATGTATCACACTACTTGTGTTCTAACGGGAATGGCTACAGAGATCTATAGGGAGTTCAAAATCGGGATAATTTCAATTCAAGGAATTTTTTGTCAAAACTACTCATTTATTATTTCTCATCAATTACCTTCTTCTTGTGTTAGCCATTGTGATGTTTTGTGACTTAGCATTTTTATCAATCTCATACTAACTTGTACTCACCGTAATGTTATCAATTATATTGATATTTTAATTATTATAATCAAATATTTGTGTCTGCGTTTCCTGTAATTTGACTGTATTTGTGTTCCATGTATTGATTGTCATAAACTAGTCATTGACTAAATAAAGGACTTACATACATGAAAATATATCGACTTGAGATGGTGACAACGTTTTGATATTTTCATTCATAATCAGGCTTTGTTATAGTCTCTTGAGGGAAATGAATAAATTTATTCATTCTTTCAATGAGGAGTAACATATTTCGAACCTGGGAAAATTATGATGGATTGATGAAAAAATTCTACCTAGGTATAAAAACAAATGACAATAGTGACAATGATATGATATGCAATATACACAAAAATAACGATGCATATAAGCATCCAACGCAAAAGACTCATTTTTGAAACCAAATACAGTTAATAATAATGATTATTATTGAATCTGATTGAAATGTCACAGGACGAATCATACGAGAACTGTCACTGGCATGTGTGAATTAGACCAAGAATTCAAATAACCATCACTTCCGGTAACGTAAGTGCGATATTCATAGGTTTTGAATCTTTCAAAACCTATTAATGAATACTGTATTTTTGATGATATATACTCGTAATATTCATCAGTTGCTTCCTAACTTCATGCAGCCTGGATACAAGCTTCCTATCAAAATGGATGTCACTCAAATTCTCACACGGTTTTGTAGTTTTTCACAGTTTTACCTGAGATTTTGGTACAGCGTTCATTTTCTGACAGCCAAGTCGAATTTACTTTCAGTTCGTGTGACAACTGAACTCCTATTCACTTTATATATCAAAAGTTCAGTAATATGCTGAATACTGCTGAATATATACGGTCAATGGCATTGCTCCTTCAGAGGAAATAGAAATCTGAATTGATAAAAGATGTTGATTTTTTAGTGATATTAGTGGATTATAAGGAAGAACAAATGATGGTATCCAATATGTCAAAAGCAGAATTCAGCCTATGATGGTCTAGTTCTGATCATTCAATCATTTCAAGCTGACATTTCCTGCCTTGTATGCAACCAATGAATCGTATATCCTGAATGAGTGGGTATTACCTATAATGAAACATTTATCCACACCTATCAATGATTATTGTAACTAATCGAATAGCTGTTTCTACCACAGTATAGAAATCTACCTTTGATGACTCGATATCGTTTCTTTTCTGGGTAGAAATTCTTGACATTTATTTCAACATCACAGCCTACTATGATTCATAATCAATTTGAAATGCGCAAATTCAGTACTTGAATACCTAAATATCAGGCATTTTTCAAGCAAGAAACTCACAACATCAGCATGTCAAATTATGTCTGCAAACCTGAAAACCATATATTTTGATAATCAGGATGAATATATATCATTACCATTAAACGAGGCTTTTTTCCATGCAGAAAATTGTTTCATTCAGATACCCTTGGGTGTACTTATTCAGTAGTTCTCTCCTTGTTTCACGCACTGAATGTTCTACGACATCTCTATATTTATTTGAAAGTTTCATTGATATTTTCATTGAACAATGATGTGCTTTGATATCCATATGCCTTGTGAACACTTTATGAAAAGTAACTTGTGCATGATGTCATTCAAGTAAGCTATATGCGAGTGAAAGCTGCCAACAGTAATCATCATGGACGTGAGATGAAAGGATAATAGGGTCTCTGTAGTTGAATTTTCCTTGTGAAGCTACAGGAAGTAATTTGAAGGGTGTTTTGAAAAACAAATGAGATTTGAACGGGAGTGGCATAGGCTGGTTAATCTATGGACTGAGTAATAACTAGCCAGTTGGAAACTATTCAATTTGATAATTATGTTTTATATAGGTCATATAAAACAGGCCGAGTTATACACACATAAAATGGTAAATTGCTTCATTAGGATCAGAAGTGACACTTTCTTTGACGAGAGAATTTTGCATTTGCGAGCGAAGCCAAGCGCACGCAAAATTTGCGAGTCAAACAAAGTCACTTTTGATCCGTATGAAACACATGCTATTGTTTCTGCAACCGGAAGAATATACTTGGATAAACATGTGAAGTAACCACCAATATGACTTACTTGACACTCTTGACAGATAATTATAGTACCTTCATTATACTAAAATGAGTAAGTAGATAGGAGCAAGACCTCAGACTACTCCACTTTGTTACAATATGTGTGGACATGGATCATATCGTCATCACATACTACAGGCACGAATTCAATACTATACCCGATACGTGGAAGCCATGTCATATACAATGCAACAATTCGTGTGGTGAGAATATTCTACCGGCATTTCACCAGCATTTACAGATTGGGCTTATTCAATTTTTATTATTCAAAAACAAGTTTTAAAATCGATCACATCCCGAGAATTACGAATGAAATGCAGATCGAACAAGAATGTGCATCTAGGAGGCTTTCCTGATCAAAACAAAAATACTCACCTATCATATGGTGTATTCATACCTCCAGCATAGGTATGAAATGCCAAATCTGCCGAAATCGGGAACAAATCAGGTTTTTCGATGACCTAGTAGTACATACTTTTCAGTTCAAGCTTCTAGGAACTAGAAGTTTTGCCTAGCAACATACTCATGTTTGTGTCAGGAATAGAAACGTCAATTCAAGAGATAATTCTGGTATTGAATTGGACGACTTTTGAGTCGCTTGCAGAAAAATGGATTTCTTGGTATTCACTCAATCATTGAATAGGTATAGGTACAATTCAATACTGCTTGGCTTCTCCAGAGAAAATTATGAATATTCCTCAGAGGAATTGGAGAGAATAATATCCAATTTTTGTTTTTGAGTTTCATAGAAATAAAATGATATAACATCACGCGGAATGTTATCATACAAATAAGGAAGCAGGTATTCATAATTTTTTGTCAAATGCTTTATTAGATTTATATTAAATTTTTATTTTTCTTTTCGTCCTTTTTATCGCAAATTATTTTTTAAATCAATTGAGAATCATATCTATGTTTCTGATCATGTAAGTTGAATGAGTATATATCCAATCCATGCACTAATGATCCTTCCAGATTGACGTTGCTGAAATGCTGATGTTGATGTACCAATTTATAGTTGATCTATCTCGATTGTCGGACAAAAAAGGCAACATTGTCTAGGTGAAAAATTTTATTGTCTCTTCTATATACATTAATGGAAATTCAGTAAGTATTGAAACAGAAATTCCATTTTATTGATTACCATCCGTGGATACCGTGGCCCCCAGTCAAGATGGTTTTGGATATAACTGGAACTGGATGAGCAACTGGGACAGCAATAGGTCTTGGGATAGCGATTCCTAAAAATGGAGAAGAATTAGAGTTATATCATGAAATTCTTGTGATTGATTTAAAACTGATAAATAGTTTCTGCAGTCTATATGGAACCCACAGCCCACAACCCACAAAAAAGTTCGACGATATATATGTGAAGCCAAAGCAAAATATATACACCAAGGCTCAAGCTCAAGGAAACCGGAATTGTTACAACAAAATTCCGAAAAAAGTGCTTTTGTTGTTTATGGACTGTAGCTTGTAGGTAAAAGACCGAGCTGACAAAAATAATCATATATTCTGCTTCTGCATATCAATTTTCCGATACGTATTGTTCATTCAATTCTAGTCGTGTTCAATGATCAGCCTCTCCTTACGTCTCCAGACTTCTTTGCGTTTTTACATAGGTATCATCTTTGATTATTCAAAGTGTGAATACTCAATGGTATTATATACAAGCGCAAATATATAATATAACCTGAAATACCAAATCAATATTCATATGTAAAATCCGAAATACGTATTTTGGCAGCAATATTATAGTTATCACCTAGAACTGGAGAGGACATGAAGCTACAATGTGATCATCTAACTGCAGTCTCTTAATTCCACTTTTCAAACAATATCATATTCATGTATATTATATTGTGAAAATGAATATAACGATCTGCCTTTCATTTGCGAATGTGCCTGAGAACAATCCGACCTAAGTCGTCATAGTTATTGGTATTGAATCCTCCTGAGAGGCCTTGATGAAACTGATGAATGACGACGATTCCAGAAACACACAGATAACGGTTTATACGTCCATGTTATTTCCCAATATCTTTCACTTCGTAGGAATATTCTAATATGAAAACGATATATCTCATGCTCCGATTTCAGTGAAATTGATATTTTTTCGTCATTCACTAAATATCTGCATAAAACAATATCGAGTCGGCGTATGAGTTCAACTGAAATTGCCGATATTTCGTATACACCGTTTCAAAATGTCCTGACTATATGAAGGAGACGTATGGACTTTCAAGAATGAACACTCTGTATCAGATGAGTGGAGTTTTCAAGGGGAGAAAGAGAAGATTGAGAAAATAATAAAGAAAGAAAAAGTGGTTTCGGTGAGAGAGAACCAATTTTCGGAGAATTCCTATTTGAAATCCATCAAAAATAATATCTTATGAACACGAAAGCTTCCACAGGGATCCATTTGGGATTATTACTAGATACCAGACATATTTGGGACGACACTGATCCCCTACGTACAAATATTTGAACATTCGAATAATAATTGTTCATCGAATGCTGAGATTTTCCAAATGTGGAAATAACCTTGAGTACAGCTGGGAGCAGGTAGGAGACACTTGAATTCGAATATCCAGCATTTGAGAAGCGTGGTTCTGAATAAGAGCCAGGTTCATTTCAAGACGTCAGACAACTGGATCATTCATGAATATCAACTTTTGAAATCGATCTTAGATAATTGTAAAGGATTCTGTCCAGAATTACTATGGATAGAACAATTTTGACTGAATCCATGTATTCATATGTCATGTCATTTGCGCATTATCAGTCGTTGTAACTACGGAGTGTTCATTATTGATGTTGTATTATTGTGAAGTGATACCGTTTCATTTGTGGAATTTGAATGATATACTCTGACATCGTTGCATATTTGGCGCCCAACGTAAATAAAAGGCATTCATGAAGGTAAAAACAATGTTCTCAGAATTTATAAACAACTGCATTTTTTATTATAAGTTCATCAACATAGATGAAAGTTGTGAGTTTCAAGAATCTGAGAATGTCGGTCTCTTTTCGGATGATGATGGAAGTAAAACTATGGGAGCATCAAAAAAGGAATCAGGAATATTTCAGATCATCTACGTGGATAATGAATCTCGAATGGAAAATAATTGGCGGAATGTAGGTGATTAAAATGGAACTGTAAGCAATGAGCACGATAATATTGAAAATCTGGAGTGAGATACAAAAAAACTTTGGATTATGAATCAGATTTGGTAAGTTGAACGTCGAATATTCAAAAACCGAAAGTTGTTACAAGAGATTTGCCAGAATTCAATGGATTTATAAAATTTTCCCAAAAAATCATGGAGGTGGTATGAATATCGATATTTGGATAAAAAGGATGATGAAATGAAAAAAAAAAGAGTATGACTGGTGATGCTGAATATTGGGTAGAATATTCTTGTACGGATGAGACATAATATGAGGAATTCAGAGGAGATTTCTGGCAAAAATATTGGAATGGATCAAATCTCATCGATGCCCATCTAGTATGTTTATCAAAACAACATGTTTCCAACGATCGACCTATTCCTCTCATCTGATTGAACAATGAATCATTTCAATAATTTCGTTTACTCAAAAATCTTTCCGAACTCTCCAGTAAATTGTGTTTCATTATCCACTAATAATCCCAAAGGTTTCCTGACATTGACAGAATACACAGCAGACACAAACCTTTAGTACTACAAAAACAAATTTCACCCCTCTACTAGATTTTGCCAACGGTCCACATGAATAAATTCAAAAATGACGCAAAATTCTTGCTGTACTGTAAAAAAACTGAAGGTCATACGCCCTTTCGGTATATTACCCTCGAATAAGGCGGTGCATGGACATTTCGCGGACTGTGTTCGAATATTAGAAAATTTGTTGCCAGTCGTGGATGAATCCTGGAAGGCTTATTGCTAGAAATGAGCTCCCTTACCGACTGGTCTGGGTACGGCAACTGGTACTGGGTGAGGAACGGGGACACCTACAGGCCTGTCTACAGGTACAGCGATGGGTCTGTCAACGGCGACAGGGTATGGTCTGGGTACTTCGACGGGTACTGGACGGTCAACGGCTACAGGTACTGAAATCGAGAATGTTCATGTGATCATGATAATTACTATTATAGAAGAGATCAGAGCCCCATATCATGAGCTCATGAAAACATATCGAGCCACATACAATATGCTTATATTGAAATTGGATTTGAGAGATACCTATACAGGAAATCTTTTGTTTTTGTTATCAGTAGTTGAATTAATTGTTCATGTTAACATATTCAGCATTCAGCCCGATGAAAATATGCGTGTTCTGACATTCACTACTATACCTTCTGATAGAGGAATTAGAGCGACATTCTTTATACAGTGAGGTAATTTGATTGATGATTCTTCACCTGATTTTTGACAAAATCACACATACTACTGCTTATATCTGTCGTTGAAGAATTGGACGCATGTTACAAAATTGTGATTAATCGTTATGTCAATTTGACATTCTGGTTGAGAAGTACTCCTCATTATTCAAAACGAAACATCCTGCTCTTGGAATTTCATTAAGAGAACATTTGTCAGAAATTACCACAGCATGCAAAGTAGTTTATCCTGACACAACACTGAATGAGCCCGCGAAAATGCATACATTAAATCAATGTTCCAAAATACCCCCCTCTACATGCCATAATCTGCTAATAGTTTCTGGTCCTTCTACACGAGGACAAAGTATGCAATTAGGCAATCCATTGATCTGTTAAACTATGCGCTGGTTGGCACACGATGAACTTATTTATATGTGATGAATCGTTTTCATACACGAATTCCTGTTGATATCAGGAGAACAAGTCATTTAACCAAAGAAAATCACAGACAGTAACTTTTTTAGTGTTCTAGTAACATCATTCGATCATCAATTTTATAAATGATGTCAACTAGGCGCCATATTGATTCTAACCTGAGTTGAATTGCCTATTTTTTTCCGCGGTATAGCCTGATCAAATGGTGTTCAATAGTGCTTGTCCCGTAACTTGGAACCGGTAGACGGTCACTCAATGGGATCATATGTTTCTAGGGGTCCAGAAGAAGATCTCAAGTTTGCTGCTTCGTAGCAGGACTGGCTCAGGACGACAAAACGTAAAAATTAACGAAGTTTTTCCTGTTTTTCGCTCATATCTTCGAAACGACACAGCCGACAAGAAATATCATTATATTTGAAGTAGAATAGCACAAAATACTGCATCAAATAATGACTCTGTCTTTCTTATTTCGGAATTGATGAGGTTGCTATCATCATTCGAAAAAAGTCGAAATTTACAAACTCTTGTGAAAACTGTGATATATCCACTTTCTGACGGCTGTGCTGGAATTGTCTGCAGACAAGCAATATAAGTGATAATGCGGATACACTGATTGTTTGGACCGCTGAATCATCATCTTCAAATAACCGAAATGTTTCCATTGTGTAAAATAAATATGGATCTGCTGGTAATTATGATGAGCATCAACACTCCTCCATACGTATATTTGCTGAAGCTAGTCAAGGAGTTGCTGTAGCAACGGCAATCTGCAGTGGAACAAAATCTTGCCAAGCACATGATACTCCATCTATAAACCAGGGCAAATCTAAATTTCTGAACACTCTCTCTAAACATCAAGAGCTCGAAGAGACCATTAGGAAATTCTTGGATCCGTCAGCCCAGCCAATGGCGATTGCTACTGCTGAAGAAGAATTTTTGTTCGCCCTGTACAGGCTGACCATGTAACAATCTGCTTGAGTGCATTACGATACAAGCAGTACGTAAAATCTACCTTCAAGTCCTCCAGCAACTCTACATCCATCCCTTCCACCGATGCTTCAGCTTACCAGCATACCTTGTGTATTTATCTTGAAGTGCGATAGGGACTTGACAACATTTTGGATTCAAAATCGTGAGGTTGGTAGTTAACCAAAAAGAGTCTGATCTCATTTACTACCCTGAATCCTCCGGCTCCTGATAAACTAATGCAATAAATTCCATGCAAATGCCACAATAACTGTGGTAGGCCTTGTGGATGCAGGCGCGCAGATCGGTTTACCCAAGATTACATGAACTGTGCCGATACCTGCATAAACAAAGCCAAACGAATCAACCTCGATGATCAAGGAGACGACTCAACGTTTGCTCCACCACTATCAGAGGCAGGTGATGAGACTTCAGAAGGTAATTCCATCAACGCGATATTATGCTATATATTATTCTCGATCACATTAACCGTCATCATAATCTGCCACTACGAGTGTTCAAGAGCTTGAGCCTGAACCATCATCGTCCATTGAGAACCATACGTCTAGATCTTTTATGGTAACATTGAAACGAAGAAAAGATAAATGGAATGGACATTGTCATCAATGTATCGTCCATACATCGTATCTTCACACTATACTACAACAAATGTTATTTTTTTTAACCAACTATAATAATGGACTTCCCATGGATTTGCCCTCAATTTCCTCAAGTCCGGAATGTCAGGATTACAATAGAAAATGGAGAGAGATTTACTGTGGGTTAGGAGGAGGTTGATACTACAATTGAGAGCTGTGAAGAGGAGTCTGATAGAAATTAGTAGGTCTATATTGACAGGCGCAGGCTCGTTATTATTGGACACCTTCATATCTGTTGAAATAATCGTTTAACCGGAAAATGAAGAAATGATCCTTATATGCGTACATATTGATTCAAATACAAATTTTTGGTTCCCTCGCAATTGACAACTTGATACTGTATAACTTTTGATCTACAAGTTATTCATGGTGGTCTGAAATTGAGTATATTGCAGTTGTCACAAGAGTTGGTGAAATTTATTTTTTCTCGAATGAAGATTGCGACCTTATAAATTTGGGAATAACAAAAAAACTCCATTTGACTCCGAATTGTATGCTCTTCCACTTTGAAGTTTCTAACATATTTCGTATAGTGAGTCGTATGCAAGGTATGAGCAAAAAAACGAAACATTTTCAGGTTTTTTGCGGTTCTCGACCTTAGCAAGTCCCCTCGAAACATATGATTCCGTTGAAAAACTTGTCATTGGATTCATTTGTTCGAAAGAACACCAATACATGAGACTAGTATTATTCCTTTCGAATTTCAATAAGAACCAATTTGCATGCATTTGTTCATCGTGAAATTTTTCTAATTTTCGATTAAACTTTTTGGAAACCCATAAAAATCATTACATTAAAGTTGCATACATTACAGAAACGTTGCTGAAAAATCACAATACTGGCCAGTCTGATAGTAGTATTATAAATTCTCACCATTGACTGGTACAGATACAGGTACTGGTCTGTCGACAGGCACAGCAACGGGTTGTGGGACTGGGACACCAATGTTCCTGGTGATGGTGGTGTGAGTGTGGGTGTGTCTTCCCAATTCGACACCAGGTGCAGCAATTCCTATGGGACTGCCAGCAATGCCAATGGGGGCACCTACAGCGATAGAACCACCTCCAAGACCCAAACCTAGACCATCACCAATACCAAGACCAAGGCCGCTGTTGATTCCAAGACCACTGTTGAGACCTAAACCACCGTCCAAACCTAGACCGGCACCATGGATTCCGAGGCCTAGGAGCCCACGCTTGTCGACCTTCTTATCTTTTTTGACTTCTTTATCCTTTTCTGAGGCGAAGGCTACGCTCACCAAGAGACAGGCTACAATCTGAGGAACAAAATGGATATATACTGTCTGTAGGTTAATCGAGGAGGTGGTATATTCATTATTCCAAATTTTTTGGGATTTTCTCTCCTCGTTTCTATTAAATAAAAATATGAATATTATTTCAATATACGTGTAGTAAGGACAAATCAGATGATTTGCCCCAAAATGTCACTGCGTTTAAAGAATTTTCCTATCAGAGAGCTAGTGAATTTTTCTTTTAGGCTCTCTGATAGGAAAATTCTTTAAACGCAGTGACATTTTGGGGCAAATCATCTGATTTGTCCTTACTACACGTATATTGAAATAATATTCATATTTTTATTTTATAGAAACGAGGAGAGAAAATCCCAAAAAATTTGGAATAATGAAAATGGATATATGTAGAGTAAATTAGGTGAAGATGCTGCTCTGGGTAATACACTGCAGTTCAATATTCTCGTTCAATGTTCATTCATCCATATTATTGTTGGACAAAAAACACGCGTGGATATTGAACAAATCGAAAATATTAGTATTTAAGTAAATAACGTCGATATAAAGGTTAGAAACATGTTGAATATGTTCTTATGTTGAGTTATAGATTGTGGTAAAGTAACATAGATTTGGTCAATTTTGATAGGAGTATGCCAATGAATGATAGATCGTTTCAAAATTTATCTTCTTGTTGGGCATCAACAAATTGTCAAATATATGGGTTTCGAGTCGGATATTTATAAAGTCTCGTCTAGGGTTCTGCAGGGATCGAATTTGTGCCCTCTTCTCCATTTAATTTCTATACATAATTTGGCAACATCGATAAATGGTCCAGATTTCTTTTTTGGGGACGTACTGAAATTATCCAATTTTATAGAGGATATGAATGACTGTGATGACTTACAACAGTCCCTAATGAAATTATTGAATGGTGCGACTTACATCGTCTTAATTTGAATGTATCTAAATGCATCAGTATTCGAAGGAAATTTTTGAGGAATTGATAACCAAATCCTTCGGGATACTTCCAGAATGATCTCTCTAGAATGACGTCGAATAATTTCCAGTGTGACCTTCCTTTACGAATTAATGCATAACCAAATCGATTGATCTGTACCCCTTAATCAAATAGATTTTTTCATTCCAAGATTGAACAGTAGACAATCAAACATGTTTCACAATGTTGCTATTAGAACAAGATTTATGCTGAAATCTCCAATTTTTATTATGTGTGATAACTTCAACAAGATTTTTTATATATGTGATATTAATCATGACTCACTGAGAGACGTGATGAATAAATTATCAGATTATATATGCACTAGTAATAGTTTTTTGGTCATCCTTCTGTTATGGTTAGTATCCTGCATTTCCTAGATTTGATTTAATCTTTCTAATCCTCGTCTTTGCCCCATGTTATTCATACTATTCTGTCAGAACTGTAATAAATAATCGACAACTGATATTTATTTGTAGCATTTCCAGATCAAGTACCAAGTATTATTACAGCTCTAGAGACATAAGATTCAATATTTTATACATATATGTTTTGTTGCGATAGCTAACGTATTTTTTGATCTCATAAAATAGTTCATTAAAAAGGCAACGAGCGACCCTGGACACATAAATATATTGTGTAACCTCTAACGTGAAGCCATAGTCTTTCTGCTAGGCGCTATGGTTATTAGATTTGAATTTTATGTTATCATATTATTCCACTTTATCCTATGAGATATAGGGTTGGGCAAAAGTATGGAACCAGGTGAATATCTCGGTAACCGTTTGTTAGATTTTTTGGTGGTGGATTTTAAAATGTTATCGTCGATGTTGGCACTTTTTCAGTTATTCTAGAATTATTATTAACTTCCTTATTTCAGATAGAACACCCTATATTTTTGGAATTTCCTTTGTGAGCTGATTTCATCAGTGGATCCTACTCTGGGTCTAGCGGGAATGAGGGTGTTTGAAATCAATATTTTCCAAATCTAGGATTTTTTCGTCTCGAAATTATTTATTATTAGTCAAAACGGCCAACATTCCCCTATCTTAAATTTTGATTCGCTATCTACTGATATTTGATTTGAACGAATACAGAGTGGTTGATAATTCTTAATTTTCAACTACCCTGTATTCGTCTGAATTGAATATCGATATATAGTGAATCGAAAGTTAAGAAGGAAACATGTGAGAAGTTCCGACCAATAAATAATAGTTTTGACACAAAAAATCATGAATTTGAAAAATCTCGATTCTGAACACCCTATATCTCAGTAATCATCCTTGCTAGACCCCGAGTGTATGAAGTCGATAAAATCAGCTTCCCATGGAGAATCTGAAAATTCAAGAAAATACAGGGTGTTTTATTTGAAATAAGAAAGGTAATAATAATTCCGGAATAACTGAAGAAGTGGCAACATCGACGATAACTTTTCCAAATCCATCACGTTTTGAAATCACTCTGTACATATATTCAAATTAATCTAACAAACGGTTCCATACTTTTGCCCAACTCTGTATATACAATGATTTACTTATACAACATTTCATTCAAAAAATTCTGTTGAATGAGGAATATTAATTACTGAATGTTTTTTGAATAATATGTAAATAGATCACGTTTTCTACGTGAGACAGGTCTATTCTTGCAACATTTTGTACGATCCAGGAAAGTTCACTTCTAGATATTATAAAGAACAGAAATACACTTGGAAGAATGAGGATTCGAAAATACATTCTCCATTTCTCTCACCGTGAATTCTTGACCTGTCTTCAGAGAGGACACTGATTAGTTCAATCCTGAATATACTTGATTGTTGATGGTGATGAAATGAAGTAGGGGTGCTCGTAAAAGAAAGGTTACTGGTCTTCTATAAGTATTGAAGATATATACAGGGTGATCCACGGTGGATGGCCTATTAGAAGTATCTGGAGAACGAAAAGACAAAGCATTCTGAAAATTGAGATGCTTTGATAATTGAACAATCTCTATCAGTCTAAAATGCTTTCATCGATACACTGTTGCCACTTTCATCAAAAACAACTAGCAACTTTGTTCCTTCAAATGGAACACCCTGTATTTTATTGCACTTTCAGATTCTTCCTGAAGAACTGATTGCATCAATGCTTCACACTTGGGGTCTAGCAGGAATGATTACAGAGATATAGGGTGTTCAAAATCGAGATTTTTCATTTTTAGGATTTTTTTGTGTCGAAACTATTCATTATCGATCAAAATGGCTCACTTGTCCCTATCTTGACTTCTGATTCACTATCTACTGGAATTTGATTGATAAAAATACAGGGAGCTTCAAGATTCTGAATTCTGATCACCCTGTATCTGTTCCAAATAAATGTCAGTAGATAGTAAATCGAGAGTTATAACAGGAACATGTGGGCCGTTTCGATCGATAATGAATAGTTTCGACACAAAAAATCCTAAAATTGGAAAATCTCGATTTTGAACACCCAATATCTCTGTAATCATTTCTTCTAGACCCCAAGTGTGATACATTGATGAAATCAACTCTTCAGGAAAACTCTGAAAATGCAGTGAAATACAGGGTGGTCCGTTTAAAATAACGCAGTTTCTAGTTGTTTCTGATAGAAGTGGCAACACTGTATCGATGAAAATATTTTAGACAGATAGAGAATGTTCAATTATCGAAGCATTCAAATTTTCAGAATGTTCTGTCTTTTCGTTTTCCAGATACTTCTAATAGGCCATCCACCGTGGACCACCCTGTATATCAAAACATTCACCCCATGTATAGGATTTAAACGTTGAGAATCTTCAGGGTGGTGAACTTTATCAGGTCCTAAAAATATTTTCACGATAATAACTAGATATTCGACAATGTCTTCTTAGCAGGACATGGGTAGAAAGAGAAATAGATAAAAGAAGTTGAGGTATTGAAAGGTACTTGGGAAGATATAAACGGCTAAACAACTTGAATGCTCGTACTATTCGAAACCCTTCTATGCTGAGTCTTGTTTCCTTGAATCTCCCAATTATTATGAATTACCAATGTTTATCGTTAATGAAAGCTAGCATCATAATTGGAGATTATGATCATCGATAGTGAATTATTGATTTGCAGTACTCATTGATTGTGAGAACACAATGGAATTATATTCCATAGTTCACAGATGAACAGAATGCCAACAATTAAACATTAATGAATATCTTGATAATAATTTCAGGTTCAAATGACATAACCGGATGAAAGCTCTACATAATTTGATCGATACGATCGAAACGAACATTGTCCGTTAATCTCTTTTTCATTATCCTATCATTGTTCATTTTGCATCGAGTGCATTTCAAATTCACGAAACCTTCGTCTTTGCAAAGCCATTTGAATAGGGAAGTTTATTAGCCAAATCAACATTGAGGTTGCTCAAGGATGTGTAAATTTCAATCCTGAAACCCAAGGATCGAGTTCGTTGATTCAGAACTTCAAGAACTTTTACTTAGTTTGCCTACTACTCGAACTTGGTTAATTACTCTCCACAATTAAAACACATTTCGAACACGGAGTAGGTAGATTAATTGAAGATGAAACCACAGTGCATCGGATCTATGAAGGTTCGTTGAAATTTCCAGTCAACAAGATGTTTTACTTTCATTCGCCAAGTTCTTCTCGTTATTTGATCACTAATATCAATAGTATCAACTTTTCGAGAGTTCTAGGTTCGATATCGATCTCGCTGTATCAAATATAGGTGATTAACTAGTGATAGTTTGTCAGTTGAACAATGATGTTTTTTTGATGAATAAATCTGTTCATGGATATACAGTGTCGTTTTGCACTATGTGTCCACAAATAATGTAACGAAATATCATACAGGATCCTCAAGGAAGTGGGGAGTATTTCGTCATCGTTAGGCCTTCAGGATATTGAAAATCATACCTCTCAAAAATCACACAACAAATTTTCCAACATGCAGTTCACCAGAGGAGACAGTAACTTCCGATTTTCGAATGAAATTTTCCATTTTTGCGACTCGTAATGATATTCGGAAGTAAA